TATATAGCACACAATCTTCTTTCACTAAGTTGAATATGAGGAGTCAGAGTTATAGTGCGAAGATCAAGCACTTAGAATTCCCTAACTGTAAAAGCCCTAATATACCCCAAAGGGATATTTTATAAACTACAATAAAATACTGTTTGTGAAAACAATTTTTAAACTGAAAAGTGGGATATAAATTTAAGATATCAATAATAAATCTGTAAATAACAACACTTCCTATCTAACTTTTGGATTTAATGGGCCACATGAATTACTAGACCACTGTTTTTAACTGATGAGTAATAAAACCAGATAGACCATTTTAAGAGACATATAAGCAGATAGGAAATGTTTAATTAAATAATCTAAATATTGTCAAATCTAGGTTTTATGATGTACTGCTCAACTGTTCAAACTCTATCTATATACAACACATACACACATACGCTCTCTCCAAAGGTAAATAAATGGCTTAAGAGCAGTGGATTCACCCTCACATTTAAAGTATACACTTTTGGGCCAGAAACAGTAACTCACACTGTAATCCCAGCACTTTGGGAGGCTGAGGTGAGTGGATCACTTGAGGTCAGGCGTTTGAGACCAGCCTGGCCAACACGGTGAAACCCCGTCTCTACTAAAAATACAAAAGTTAGCCAGGCATGGTGGCAGATGCCTGTAATCCCAGCTGCTTGGGAGGCTGAGGCAGGAGAATCATTTGAACTCAGCTGGCAGAGGTTGCAATGAGCTGAGATCATGCCACTGCACTCCAGCCTGGGCCACATGGTAAGACTCTATCTCAAAAATAAAATAAATAAAATAAAATGTACTTTAAAAAAAAAAGAAGCATCTTTCAACCACAGCATCCTAAAATTTCTCATTTTATTGTTACGAATTTCCTGAAATTATGGAACTTGTACTATCTCTGTTCATAGGCACAACTCAAAGCTCTTCCTCAGCTGTTTTTGGCAGCAATAAATTTACAATCTATACATAGAGATTTCTATTCTTAATTCAGTATCTCTTTAGGAACTCAAACTGGTTGACATGTAAAATTACATGGTGAATAGTTTCAGGTATAAATGAGGAACATAAGTCTTAACTACATATACCTTACATTAAGGAACAGAGCTTGCTCTTAATCACTGTCATTAGAAATACACAATTGGAGAGCTGAAACAAATGGAAATAGTAGCAATAAAGGAAAACAGAAATGGGCAATGATGAGGAGACATGTAGTAAGTAATTACAAAATGCCATGCAATGATTCAGGGAAGAGACTTCTGGCTATGATGGCAAGAACAGATCAATGAATTGTTTCCTCAAAAGAAAATGACAGTTAAGAAAGTTGGACGAAGTTGTCAAAAACAGTTATTCAAGATTCTGAAAATCAATCCAAGGCAGACAGACAATAAATAGTGGAATGTCCTGAGAAATTGCTTAAGCTTAGGGGCAAGACATCTGGACACAAACTTAATGCCTTAAAACTTAGTTTTATCAGGGGAAAGCTGGGACCTTACTAGCAATTTTCACTGCCAGAGAGGGCAGACCTGACTTGGGACAAGCAGGAGATTGAAGGAGGAGTAGAAAATCCACAGCTTTGTCAGCTAACAGGGGCCAACCTGGTGGGAACCTAACTGGGAGAAGACGTTCTTCCAGCTTGAGGTTGTGGTCTGATTAGGGTGTAGTGGAAGCCCAGCTGGAAATCTGAAGGGGAGATCCTGGAAAGAAAAGAGTCATAAAAGGGCCAGATATGCTCACCTCACATCCCTGGGTGGTTGTGAAACTACATGAATGAGGAAGGAAGACATGAGTGGTCTCAACAGAAAGAAAACCCAAGGCAGGCTGGAGAACTGGCTGAGCTTAGAGTGCACTTCCCAATCCACCTGGATCATCAGAGGGTGAAAGCTCTACAAGCTTTTGGGCACAACCCCTACACTAGTCACAGGCTAATCATCACTAATCACAAGCTAGGAAGACATAAGTGACTCCTAGCCAGGCTAAAAAAATAAAGTAACAAATGAAAATCACTAAGCAGAAACATCAGTGGCCACACACTGTGTGGGAGTCAGATTCCATAGTTTAAGTATGGGCAAGTTACTTAAAACACACATACAGACTCAGAAAAATCAGTAACACCCCACAGTCACTACAATACATTACTAAGATGTCCAACTTTCATTAAAAAAATTACAAGACTTGCAGAGAAAGAGAAAAGTGACCCAGATTTAAGAAAACAAGCAGTTACTAGAAACAGACTAAGGCCTGGATACTGCATTTAGCAGACAACTTCAAAACAGTAAATACAAATATACTTTTAAAATTAAGGTGGGGCATGGTGGTTCACACCTGTAATCCCAGCACTTTGGGAGGCTGAGGCAAGAGAACTGCTTGAGCCCAGGAGTTCAAGACCAGCCTGAGTAACATAGTGAGACCCTGTCTCTACAAAAAATACAAAAGTTAGCTGGTATGGTTGCACGTGCCTGTAGTACCAGCTACTCAGGAGGCTGAGGTGGGAGGATCACTTGTGCCAGGAGGTCAAAGCTGCAGTGAGCTGAGATTGCACCACTGCCCTTCAGCCTAGGTGACAAAGTGAGACCCTATCTCAAAAAAAAAACAAAATTTAAAAAGATATGAGAAGAAATCTAAGTAGAAAAATATAAATGGAAATTCCAGAGTTGAAAAATGTAATAACTGAAATAAAAAAATAACTAGATGGGCTGAGCAGCAGATTTCAAATGGCAGAACAAAGAAGGAGTCAACTGAAAAAGAGATCACCTGAAATTATCCAATCTAAAGAACAGAAGGAAAAAAGATCAAAGAAAAATGAATAGAACTTCAGATTATGTTTAGGTTCAGATTGAATTTTTTAAAGAAACAAAAAACCCTATGGGAGAACACCAAGTGTTTCAGTTTATGTGTTAGCTAGGCACAGTGGCTCACACCTGTAATACCAGCACTTTGGGAGGTCAAGGCAGGCAAATCATGAGATCAGGAGTTTGAGACCAACCTGGCCAACATGGTGAAACCCCATCTCTGCTAAAAATATAAAAATGAGCCAAGTGTGGTGGCACATGCCTGTAATCCCAGCTACTTGAGAAGCTGAGGCAGGAGAATTGCTTGAACCTGGGAGGCAGAGGTTGCAGTGAGCCGAGATTGTACCACTGCACTCCAGCCTGGACAACAGAGCAAGACTTTGTCTTGGGGGAAAAAAAATTTATGTGTAATGAGAGGACCAAGAAAAGAGAAGAAAGGAAAAAATATATATGAAGTATAGTCAAAAACATCCCAAATTTGATGAATACAGATTTCAAAATCTCAAGAAAACCCAAGTATGATAAAAACAAAGAGATCCACTCCTAGACACATCATAGAGAAACTGCTTAAAGCCAAAGACAAACAGAAAATCTTGAAATCAGCAAGAGAAAAACAACTCATTACCTACAGGAGGACTAACAATAGGATTAACAGCTGACTTCTCATTAGAATGAGCTGACTCCCATGCGAGTGGTCCAGGGGATGACATATTTAAAGGATGGGGTATGGAGGAAGAAACTGTCAACCAAGAATTCTATAGCTAACAAAACTATCATTCAAAACTGAACACACAAAAAAACAACATTCCCATATAAACAAAAACGGACTATTTGTTTCCAGCTGGTCTACTCTAAAGAAAATACTAAAAGAAGTCCTTTGGACTGAAAGCAAATGACACTGGATAACAACTTGGACCTATAGAAGATATGAAGATCACTGAAAATGGTGAAAAAACCATAAACAGAGCTAGGTCTTTCTATGCAGATTATAGAACATTTCTATCTTTAGAAATATACCACACAAGGCTGGGCGTTGTGGCTCATGCCTCTAATTGCAGCACTTGTGGAGACCATGGTAGGAGAATTGCATGACAGGAGTCCATAATAAGCCTGAGCAACAAAAGAAGACCCTGTCTCTAAACAATAAAAAATGAGCTGGGTGTGGTGGTATACGCTTGTAGTTCCAGCTACACGGGAGGCTGAGGCAGGAGAATCACTTGAGCCCAGGAGACTGAGGTTGCAGTGAGCTATGTTCATGCCATTGCACTCCAGCCTGGGTGACAAAGCAAGAGACAATACAATTATCCTTATGTTGATATGAAATATACACCTATTATTAATTTATGACATTTCCTTTACTTTAGCAAGTTAGTAGTAAAAGGTGAGGTCAAAGAGATAAGCTGGGGCTAGAGACTAGTAAATAAACCAAGTACAGAGTTTGAATTTTATTCTAATTGCATTAGCGAACGATTAATAGTTAAGTAGGAAATCGGCAAAATTTGCATTAAAAAAAACCCAAAACTATCTTAGTGCTACAGTGAAGGATAGACAAGTTAGGCAGCAGTAATCCCGGAAATAAGTGATGAGGTTTGGACTAGAATGGTGATGAGGATAAATTCTTTTAAATTTCCTAACAGCCTCTTCAGGTAGGTACTATTATCTTCATTTTAGAGTGAGCCAAGGGCAAAGAGAGATTAAATAACTGGTCCAAGGTCAAACACTTTAGTAGGGGCCATACTAAGATTCAAACAAACAATCTGGTGGAAGAGTAGTAAGATGTAGAGAAGGTGAAGTAGTTTTAGAGTTACGGTTATCAAGACTTGCTAGTCAATTAGATGTGAAGATGAAAGAAATAAAGACTATTCCTAGGTTTTTCTTGAGCAACTAAGCTTGGTAGTATAATTATGTAGAGAAAGGATGTAAAATAAGAAGAAAAGGGGTTCCAGGAGCTGAACAGAGAAAGAGGCAGCAGCAGAAGAGCCAGTGCTTGGCAGGAAAACCGGGACAGCATGAAAAGCCAAAAGACAAAGTATTTCTAGGAGGAGAAAGGATAATGTATACAATGCTGCTGAGAGAAGGTGTAAACGAGAACAGGTATAAATGCTGAATTAATGTAGAGAGTTTTCTAGTTGTAAAACTAAGGTAAAAATTTCCATATGATTGCCAGGCATCCGTCTGTTTTTCACCTCATAGTTCACATACCGTAAGAGATCCATTTTGTGTGCTGGGTGAGTTGCTGCTCTGCTCCCCATGGGCTTGCGTACTTCCGTAGAGTGTCAGGTCATGCTCACCGGTCTGGCCGGCATAGTCTTGAGTGTGTGGCACCCCATATTCTGTGGGAATTCCATTCTGCGGAGGTGGTGGAAATGGGATGGTAGTAAAAGGCTGAACCATCGCGTCAGGAGTTGTTGTTGGCTCCTGGTTACCCTAAAACAAACAATGAGAAAAACAAAAAGTGACTCTGAATCCTTCTTACCTAACTAGTTTTAAAGTGAGTAAATGGAATTATCCGAACATTCTCTCACTGCATAGGCTGGGTGCAGTGGCTCACGCCTGTAATCCCAGTAGTTTGGGAGGCCAAGGTGGGAGGATCACTTGAGGTCGGGAGTTTGAACAGTCTGACCAACATGGGAGAAACCCCATCTCTACTAAAAATACAAAATTAACCGGGCATGGTAGCGCATGCCTGTAATCCCAGCTACTCGGGAGGCTGAGGCAGGAGAACTGCTTGAACCTGGGTGGCGTAGCAGTGGTTGTGGTGAGTTGAGATCCTGCCATTGCACTCCAGCCTGGGCAACTGTCTCAAAAAAACAGGAAGTAAGTCCAAGTTTTAGTCATCAAATCAGCAAAAAAAATTAAGCAGTTTTATTGTGATATAACCGTCAAATAATAAACAGCACTTATTTGTTTACATTATACAATTTGGTAAGTTTTGATATACGCACTTATATTCTCATAAAATCATCACAATCAAGATAGTCAACACATATATCCAAAACCCCCAAAAGTTTCCTTGTGCCCCTCAATAATAAGTGTGTATTACTTCTGTAATAAAACCTACGCAATATATTGTTTTTACTATTAAAGAGAATGACAAAAAAATATATTCAATAAAGGGAATCCAATATTCTGAAACACTGAATTACTGTGTTACCCTTAAGAGAATGGTAATGATCTACCTAGAAACGAAAATTCATAACTCTCTTCCATTGAAAAGTTAAAAAACTTCAAAACACAGCTATCTCCACTGTTCAAGAATCATTTCTACTTGGTAATAAAAACTGCTTTATCTAAAACTGATGAAAGAAAAAAGGCAGAGAATTGGGGATGGGGGACTGCAATAGTCTAGATAAAAAGTGATGAACTGATTACAGTTATTAGTAGGAGGGGACAGAGTCATAAGCTGAGTTGTGCTCCTCCCCAACTCATATGTTGAGGTTTTAACCCTCACTATCTCAAAATGTCATTGTTTTTATAGACAGGGTCTTTAAAAAGGTAATTAAGTTAAAGTGATGTCATGAGGGTGGGCCTTAATCCAACTGGAGTGGTGTCCTCATAAGAAAAGGGAATGTGGATGCAGACACATACAATAGAAGGCCCACATGAAGACACAGAGCATGGCCATCTACAAGCCAATGAAAAAGACATTAGAAACCAACCCTGTTTACACCCTGATCTTGCACTTCTAGCCTCCAGAATGGTAAGAAAATACGTTTCTATATTGTTATGTAATACTTTGTTATGGAAGCCCTTGCAAATTAGTGGCAGGAATGGAGATTCTGTAACACAGAAATAAAAATTTAAAAAATTGCTTTACATAAAAATGTTCCTGCTATTGGACATAATGACTCATATCCTGTAATCCCAGCACTTTGGGAGGCTGAGATGGAAAGACTGCCTGTGGCCAGGAGTTCACAACCAGCCTGGGCAACGCAGAGTGACCCTGTCTCTAGAAAAACTTTAAAAAATTAGCTGGGCATGGTGGCAAGTGTCTATACTCCCAGCTACTTGTGAGGCTGAGGCAGGAGGATTGCTTCAGCCCAAAAGCTGGAGGCCGCATTGAGCCATGATTGGACCACTGCATTCTAGCCTGGACAACAGAAAGACCCTGTCTCTTAAGGAAAGAATAAAGGCTGGGTCTATAATTTCAGCACCTTCTGAGGCCGAGGTGGGCGGATCACTTGAGGTCAGGAGCTCAATACCAGCCTGGCCAACATGGTGAAACTCCATCTCTATTAAAAATATAAAAATTAGCCAAGCATGGAGGGAAATGCCTTTAATCCCAGGTACTTGGGAGGCTAAGGCAGGAGAATCGCTTGAACTCAGGAGGACTGACATTTTGCAGTCCTCTGCAAACGCAGTGATCTGACATTGCTGCCACTGTACTCAAGCCCAGGCAACAGAGTAAGACTAGCCATCTCAAAAAACAGCAGAAAAAAACCTCTCTCTCTTTAGTTCCTAGACAATGTGCTATGAAAACGTTAAATTTTTGAGCCCATAAAATTTTTTTGGAAAAAGTCTCTTTGTCACCCATCACTATATAACTTCTTTTCATTATTTCTAGGTTGGGGTAGTATATATGATTTCTTTTTAGCTATTCTGGGCATCTGAAGAGAGATATAAAATAGTCATCACCCTTCTCCTTCAAATTATCAATCCTCTGTCTCTCTGTATCTATTTAGCCATATGAAACATACTGCTTCAAAAGCCCTCACTGGATGTACCAGCCTGAAGACAGATATGAAAAATAACTCAATTGGAATTCAGGTGGACTGGTGAATGAAACACAGTAAGAGCACCACAGGTCTTATGGCCACATCAGGCATAAATATATCTTACAGGAATCCATAAGAAAGTTCTACTAAATAATTGATAAAGGCTAAAAGACATAGTTCAAGTTAGGATTAACAAGGCCAAGGGGACTTTCTCGTGCTCTGACAGGCTCCTCCCAGCCTCCATTCTCCATCCCAGCCTGTTGGGAATGAGACTCTGGCACACAAGTACACAGTGTGAATTCTCCCAAAGGGGTATTCTCAACAGGGCTGACTCAGTCAACTGAATAAACACATCAATTAGCAGTGGGAGATGGGGAGTAAGGTAAAAACATTTCCTATGAGCCACATGCAGCCTAGGCACTAGGTGTTTCACAGAAATGCAAGCCAGGCACAGGCTCTGTTTTCCTAGAGGAGAAATGCAACCTCTGTTAGGAGGTCAAGAAGAAATTCTTAGTGAATTATTTTGTTATAGAAATTTCTTAAAAAATTTTTTTTAATGTAACAATTGTTTATATACTAATGGAATGAAATTGAGATAGGAGTGATTTAACATTTTCTCTCACATATCCTGCAATACCTGAATATTTCCTCAAGTATGTATTATTAAAAATGTTAAATGGTTTCAGATTTCTATTAAATTTCCAGGCCATATTCCACAGTTGTTCAGAAAACAGCCCTCAGCAAACTATGAGGTAATAGTTCACATGATTATTTCTGGGTATGAATTTACCTCTATACTTAGATAAAAATGTTTTGTTTCTAATACCAGAGGCTAAGCTGCTTAAGCATATCTCACCTGAGAAAAGAAATTATTAGCTTTCTCTTTAGTCCACAAGGCTAGACAGAATAGCTCTTTTCCCTAACCTAGCAATCAATAAACTTTCTTCTATTTCCAGTTAGTAGTAATTCCTTCCTTTCCTATGTTCTTCTAATATCTAGCTTGCATCCTGTACAAGACATTTAAATATAAAGCCTCATACTCAGCAAATCTAAATATGTGTTTTAACTCTCCTATTAGATTAAAAGGTTCATTACGATGGGTGGAGACAGTCCTGTACAATGTAGAATCCCACACGGTACATAATAAATATGAAGTGTTAAACATTTATGAAACAGAGGAAGAGTGAGATAGTCATGTGTGTGCACATTATAGCAAACTGCTTTGCTGGGCTAGAATAGAGAGCATAACAAGGGATAACATACAATGAAACAAATGTTGATATCCTGGGTTGATATCAAACTGCTTGCAGGGATGAGAAAGCAGAAGGGATGAAGCATTAGGAAAGAAAAGAATCAACATTTATGTGCTTATGTTTTATGCACTTCATTTCCTTTTGCCTTACAAACACAGGCTTTAAGAGTTGTTGACCTGCTGTCAGTGAAAATCAGATGTAACTTAATTTCTGAGTTGAGAATGATGTCTTTCACCTTTAAACCACAGATAGAGAGGCGATACATATTATATACAGTCTTTAAGTGTACAATGTGAAATATGCTAAATGCTTTTATTCTAAATTCAAATATACATTTGTCCCTTCATATCTGCAGGTAATTGCTTCCTGGAACCTCCCAGCCCCCACCCACCACAGATGCCAAAATCCTTGGATACTCAAGTCCTTTATATAAAATGGCATAGTATTTGCATATAATCTACTTACATACATCCTCCTGTATACTTTAAATCATCTCTAGATTACTTATAATACCTAGTACAATGTAAATGTTATATAAATAGTTGTTATGCTGTAGTGTTTAGAAAATAATGACAAGGCCCTGCATAGTGGCTCATGCCTGTAATCCGAGCTGTTTGGGAAGCTGAGGAGGGAGGATCACTTGAGCCCAGGAGTTTGAGATCAGCTTAGGCAACATGGTGGAATCCTGCCTCTACAAAAATTTTTTAAAAATTAGCTGGGCATGGTAGCACGTGCCTGTAGTCCCAGTTGCTCAGGAGGCTGAGACAAGAGGATTACTTGAGCTTGGGAGACAGAGGCTGCAGCGAGCTATGATTACAGCACCGCATTCCAGCCTGGGCGACAGAGTGGGACCCTGTCTCAAAAAAATAAAGAAAAGAAAAAAGTGCCAAGAAAAAAAAGAGTCTGGCCAGGCACGGTGGCTCACACCTATAATCCCAATGCTTTGGGAAGCCAAGGTGGGGGGATCCCCTGATCTAAGGAGATTGAGACCAACCTGGGGCAAAGGGAGACCCTGTCTCCTAAAAAGAAAAAAAGTCTGTAAGTGTTTAGTACAGACACAGTCATCCGATTTCGCTCCCTAATTTTTCAATCCACAGCTAGCTGAATGCACAGATGCAGAACCTGTGGCTATGGACAGACAACTATAGTATCACAGTCATCAAACAGAAACCCATTCAAAGGTCTATTACCTTACCCACAGCAATCTCAGAGGTTCAACCATGACCTAGAGAGAGGTGACTTCCAAAGTTTTTTCTAGGTCCAACCATGTGCTTTCTCCCAAGTTTATATGGGATGTAGTAAAATAGAAGAAAGCATGAACCTAAAAGGCAGACTTGAGTTTAAATCCCAGTTACATCTCGTACCGGATAGGTTGTTTACTTCAGATGTGGTTGTGAAAAATCGAGAGAGCAAGTGAAACTGTTTTGTTAATGATTCTTTAGCATATCTTCTGTTTCTA